GGCACTATGTCCCTGGAAAACACATAATGCTGCCCCTTCAAACCTATGTGTTTAAATATAGACAAGAAAAAGCAAATAAATGTGTATACTTGTTTTCTTTTGACTTACAAATTTATAAATTCTGACAAATTAAAGCAGAAAGACATAGTTCTATGAAGATACCGGCGCAGAGATTGCTTTTGGTAAAGAGATTCCATCCACTGATTTAAACAGGAAAACCAACATCAACCCAGAAGTAAAACCAAAGGTCATCATCAACCCACCTGAGCAGCGGGATGTGAACCTGAACCGAAGACGTTTTAACAGTGAGTGTACACTGGATCTAACTTCAAATTTCTGTTTATAAATTGGATTTCCTTCTCTTTTCTTTTTGTGAAAATCCTTCACATAACATTTATTGTGAATTGGTGCAACATACATGAACTGAATTGAATATATAAGCTGATTTACTGAATATTTATCAGAAAAATAAATAAATAAATAAATGAATGAATGCTCCAGTTTTATGTCCATGCATGCTGGGTAAAGAGCCTAAAACGTATTGCTCTTTGAGGCTGAAACATCTCCAATGACATTCCACTGCCTTCTGTTGTTTCTTGAACTCTGTGGCTGTACAACCATCAAAACTTCACCTGGGGTTTATATAAGTTTGGTAATCACATTCCATTTTACCAAAGGAAGGGGTAAAATGACGAATGCTTTCAGAGAAATATCCGTGCACTGTCAGAACTATTAGCTGTTTGATGCCCAAGAAGTGGAGGGCTCACTTTTCACGGTGCCACAATACTTGATTGTCTTCTTTTCAGGTCCAAATGTTGCTCTTCACTGCTGCTTTATGTTTTCTACAAGAATGGTGGCTAAAGAACAGATTCGTTCATACCACATCACCGGTCCTCACTGCTCAAAGTCTGCAGTCTTGTAAGTGTCGGCCAGCAAGCAAGCTCATATCAATCACTAATAATGTCCTAAGAAAGTATCTTGTCTTAAGAAAGATACTTTCTGTGGCGTAACAGAATTGTTCTCATTCTGTCACGTTACAGCCTCAAATTTAACTTTAAATAGTGTTAATGTTTGGTTTTTATTTGTGTTTCCAACTCTACCAGCTTTGTTCTTCTCTTCTGTTGCAGGTTTGTCATGATGTCAGGGAGTTACATCTGTGTGAATCCAAAGCTCTTGTGGGTCCAGAAGATCATGAAGGGTCTAGACAAAAAACGATTTTAAAGGCACCAAGAGCCCAATTTTGCTTTTTTTTTGTTTTGGTTTTTTGTTTGTTTGTTTTTTGCTTATTAGTGGACATGATGATTATTTGATTCTCTGAGGATTTTGTCTGTGCATGATGTCAACAAACAACTGATAGCCTCTAACGTTTATAGTGGTTTCTCTTTTTGGAAAGAGACAAAATATCAACACAAAATCAAAAACAGAAAAAGAAGATAAAACAGATTACATCAAAATTACAGATCATCTTGCATGGTATTGAGAATGTTATTTGCTTAACCCTAAAGAAAAACATGAGTTGTAACTTGGTCAATGTATACTGCTCAAAAAAATAAAGGGAACATTTCACTTTAATTTTGTGTGTTACTCCAAATCCAGGCTTCCATTG